TTTTGAGTGAAAATGAATTGATTACTGATCTTTAACATCTAAATAACACAAAATGACTGTAGAATCATATATGTTTTAAGTATTAATGCTTCAAATCGGATGCCTTTTAAAATTCGTTTTCGATGAGACAAAATAACTTCCTTTTATTAATATAAACAACTTTAAATTTCAAAAGTTAGTCATCGCACATCATGATTTCTATCATAAACAATAAAAAATTGCAGTAATTAAACTGCATATATAAAAAGAACCCTCTATATGTATGGCATTTTCTATGTGGTTTCAGGGCGCGACCACTGCGCTACTAGAGCTTTGTGTCACAATGCTTACAATCTTCTAGAGGCTCGGTGGTCGTGCCTTGAAACTACTGTCGTTTGCTTCTCAATGGCATTCACTTGCTTTTCAAATAGGCATGTTTATTTTTACCCGCATATAGATAAAGGGCTCTGACATCAAAACACTTGCTCCCCAAGCTAGTATTGTGATTTTATAAATTATTTCCTGTGGTATAATTTCCTGTGGTGTGGTAAATGTACTTTGCTATAATTAAAAATAGAAATTGCATAAAAGTTTTATTTAAATTTAAAATATTTTCTGAATATTTTGTGACGAAATACTAATAAAATAAGTATGAGTGGGAAATGAATGATACGTACAAAGCCAAATCCAGGCAATGTACATTTTGTAGCACAAGGAAGAAACCTCATAGAACAAGATGTATGTGCGAAACGTGCAATGGGAGTCTATGCATGTACCAAAGAGACAAAACATGCTTTGAACAGTGTCACAAAAAAAAAAAAAAAAAAAAAACTGAGTTCTTTTTTTATCTTTATTTCATTGAGTTTTTTTAATCCATTTATCCAAATGTCCTTATTATGTAGGCACTTATATTTTCACTGCTATAGAAAAATTACATAAATGTTTATTTTTTAATTTTTTCAGACGATTTACTTTGTAAAATAATGTCAAAAATTATATATAATGAAATTCTTACATACATTTTTTAAAAATCCGTAAATTTCGTCATTTATGGAAACGCGTGCGGAAAATGGTAAGTTTTTTTCCCCTACTACATCAGTAAGTTTCAAAGTCCTAGACGTGTGGTGGTTTCACAGTGAGACCACCACCCACAGAACAATGGGCAAGAGTAGATTTTTTTAAATTCATATATTACTTGCATCTAGGATCATAATATTCAATTTCTAGATTTTTTAGTTAAAAAAATTATAAAAATAATATTGTGCGCGTCAAAGGGTTAATAGCTACCTTGGAACGTTTCTTTGCACGAAAAGGTAAGAGTTCTAAAGAGGTAATTTTGTAGGTGCAAATGCAGAATTAAAGAGGTTAAATAAACTAGTGAACAAACAAGATGAGCTTTTAGCTGGTTATTTGAGTTCTGAGAATATCGAATGGAAATTTCTCCCTCCCAGAGCACCCAATTTTGGAGGCCTCTGGGAGGCTGGAGTTAAGTCTTTTAAATACCACTTCAAACGTGTCATAGGTAATGCAAAAGTGACATTTGAACAATTTTTAACTGTTATGATTCAGATTGAAGGAATTTTAAATTCCCGACCATTAACACCCTTGTCTTCGGACATTGATGATTTAGAAGTTCTAACACCTGGGCATTTTTTAATTGGTAGACCAATTAATTCGATCCCTGAGCCAGATATCACGCAAGTTAACATTAACATGTTAAAATTGTGGCAACAGGTCACAAGATTAGTACAAGTTATCTGGAAAAAAATGGAACTCCAATTATTTAAGTCATTTACAAAATCGATCTAAATGGCAAAGCTCTAAAAACAATACACAAGTTGGAGACATGGTCCTAATTAAAGATAATTTGCCTTGTTGTAATTGGGCAGTTGGTATAATAGAAGTAGTTTATGGTAAAGATGGAAAGGTTCACATGTGTAATGTAAAATCTCACACTGGAACTTTCAAATGACCAATTACCAAATTATGTGCCTTACCAATACAAAAATGAATATTGTCTTTATAGTTATTGTATACCATTGAATGTGCTTCACATAAAATGTCATTATGTAACCGAAATGTTATATTGTATTGTTTTGAGTTATATGCTAATGTATATGGCATATAACTCAAATTATAATAATGATTATAAATAATAATGATTTTATGTAATAATTATAATAATTTTAATTTTATGTAATATTATATAATTTTAATTTTATGTAATAATTAATTATAATAATTATAATAATGATTTTATGTAATGTCTAATTATAATAATGATTTTATGTAATAGTACTTATTCAAAATTGTTTATAATACTTGTTTAAAATTTTTTATGCTATATCTTAATTACAATAGTTGAATGCTACGCATTGTAACGCATGGCGGTATGTTCGTGCCTGCGCACCTGTAATGTAATCCGCGCATGCGCATATGTAATGGTGTTCAGACGAGTTTGAGAATCTCCATCGGTGGTGTAAGAGGTCTGGTCACAGCTATGAGATAATAATGAGTGATTGTAATTAATTATGAGAATTAATAAAGAACTGAACCAGCAAATTTATTATAGTGTGTTTATTTCAGATAAGACCCAAACACAGCCCTTTTTGGGGACGATTTAAACAAGATCTCTTTTAGATGTTTTCTTAGACACTTAGATATGTTTCACCATACAAATTATCATAATTTATATTACTTATTAATAAACATTATAAATAAAACAGTGACAGATAAATATTTATCTCATGCATAAATAAGAAAAATACAAAAGAAGAAGACACTTCACGTTATATGTTTTTAACCAAAGCAAAATTTTAACTCAGGGTTATGGGGGAAAACACTTAAGAATATGGTTTTTAAAAGTAAACTTAAATTTATAAAAGGATGTAAGAGAAATTTAATTGATAAATTACAGAATTAAAATTTTTGAGTCCATCATTTCATTTTTTTCAATATAATTTGGCAAAACAAACTTTAGCAATATTTCAGTTCTATTCGCATATTTCCAGAATTTTTTCAGTGGAAGAGTAACATCAAGAATCAACATAGATAAACTCACTAAGCATGGAATATATACAGTGGTGGCCAAAATTGTAGACACTTTAGGAAATTTTTATGTTTTTGTATGCTTATAGAAAATGTTACATTTCACAAAATGCAAACTTGTATATATCATTTTAAAGAGAATTTATTACTGAAATTAATACAAAACACAAAATTCAATTATTTGCAATACAAAAAAAGTTAACGGATAATAGTTATGGATATACATTAGATAGTGATGATTGCAGTGAGTTAGTACTTAGTAGGGTACCCTTTATTTTTTATTACAGCTTCACATCGACATTTCATTGAGCTGACAAGAGTTTTAAGCTCTTCTTTCGTTATTACATGATGCCAGGAAACAATTATAGCCTCAATTAGTTCCCTTTTATTTGATGGGCGCCTCATTCGGACAAGACGGTGCCACAAGTTTTCGATAGGATTGAGGTCAGGACTGTTTCCTGGCCATGACAACAATTTAATTCTCTTTGTACGAAACCACTTTCGATATTTTGGCCGTGTGGCAAAGAGCAGAATCCTGCTGAAAAATAAACGAAGCATTGTTGGGAAAGAGATCTCTGATGGAAGAAAGAAGTTTTGTTTCAATGTACTTTCTGGCATTCAGTGTCCCATCGATGACATGAAGGTGACCAATACCATCTGCTGACATGCATGACCAAATCATAACACTAACTGTGTTCTTCACAGTTGCTTGAATGCAGTCAGGATGTAGCTCTTCTCCTATTCTATGTCTTACATATTTTTGCCCATCACTACCGAATAACGATATCTTAGTTTCATCACTCCATACAACTTGTGACCACTGATCATCTGTCCAATTAATGTGTTCCTTTGCCCACTGTGTTTTTTTTTTTTTTTTTTTTTTTTTTTTTTTCCCCGTTGCTGAAAATTAAGATAAGGCTTTTTTCGTGGAATTCTACCTCTCAGTCCAACATCTGTTAATCTTCTCCTGATTGTTCTTGAACTGACAGAAACACCAGCATCATTCACATCACTTCTGATGGCCGCTGATGACATTTTTCTATCTTGGAGATATAGTCTTTTTATTCTTCTGTCATCAATAGATGTGGTGCACCTTTCTCGGCCTTTTCCTTCTTTGTTTTTTATTGAATTTGTCTCCTGATATCGTAAACAAAACTTTCGGACACCAGATGTAGTCACTGAACCACCCGTCTTGCAATTTCAGCATAGGAAAGACCACTTTCTCGTAACACAATAATATTACATCTCTTTCTAGGTGTCCAATCTACTCTTTTATTTGATGTCATTGCTTCTTAACTAAATATTAAACATTTTTACAAAAATTCCTACTTGTAATTGCAGTGTACAAGAAACAGGCCCTCCTTCTACAGAACAAAGCAAAATAATGAATTCTTTCAAGTGTAAACATGATGTCAGCTTTTACTGGCAGTTACTAACATTTGATTGGTTCTCAGAAACAAGAACAGTGTTGGCCAGGAAAGCTAGACATACAAACCACTTCATAATGTGTTTTTTATTTATATTAAAGTACATATAACTTTTTTTGTATAGCAAATAATTGAATTTTATGTTTTGTATTGAATTCAGTAATAAATTCTCTTTAAAATGATATATACAAGTTTGCATTTTGTGAAATGTAACGTTTTCTATAAGCATACAAAGTTCAAAAACATAAAAATTTCCAAAAGTGTCCACAGTTTTGGCCACCACTGTATATGTAGATAAAAAGATCTTCAAACTGTTAAGAGTTTGCTACCAAGAGGAGATAGGAGTGACGAATTCCTATTCAATTGCAAAAGTCACTTCCTGTTTTCAACGAGAGCTTATAGTAGACATAAAGAAGGTAGTAGAAAGAAACTAATCGAAGCAAAATATTGCATTAATAAACCTACAGCAACAAACATAATTTCAGTTTTAATGGTTCTTTTGCAAATGTGAAACATTATAAAACTGTGCAATTAGGTTAACATTACCTGGTACAGCAGCGTCCCTTTCCGAGAGCAGACACAAAGCAGGTATTCGAAAAATACAATCTTCCACAGTATTGAGCCGGATCCGTTTGGGAGCATCATAATCCACATGGGCTATTAAAGGCATCTGTCTTAAAATGCCTTTAATAACTTCTGTATTACGATTCACCAACGCTTGTACAGCAGCATAAGCGACGAGATATTCTATATCCTGCAAAGAAATGTAGTTTTTAAATTTATGTTAGATATTCTTCACAACCCACATCACTTAAAGTAAACTGTGAAAAGGAATTATAAACTTCCGACATACTACCGCTCTGGAAGAAGGGAAGAGCTGTCTGTGGCACATGAGCATAACATTCCTCTCATATTCTTTATTGTTGTTCTCTCATCAATACAGGTAAATCGACAACTTTGTAATCAGCATAGATTTTTGTAAAATCCCTTTTGAAATATGTGAATATGAATATATATGACGCTTTTGACACAGATAAGAATTGATTTTGTAAGTTACGCCTTAAGCGTATTAAACCAGGAATTTTACAAAAATCTACGCTGATTTACAATGTTGTCAATTTAACTCTTTTACTGTTGTAGTTATTTGAAATTCCACTTCTGTTACGGACCTGGTTAAGTCCAACCATATAATAATTACACAACTACTTGTGGACTTCGAATATAGCTTAAAATTTGTGACTATAATACCACCATTGACGGCTTTTTCCAGTTTCTCTGAATAACTATAATTTTATTATTGGAATATTTCTAAATTTATTGATTTCACTAGAATTTACTTATATTAAATGCTTCGCACGAAGGTAAAAGTAATATCCAAACCTGCTTTGCTATTAACTAAAGTTGTAGAATTCAAGAGGCATACTTATGGAAATACATAAAAATACTGAATATTAATTAAAAATTGTATCCAATTAATAAATGATACCTATGTGCACGGCTTAACTGAAAACAGGCACGTGATTAGTGATAAGCAAGCATTCGTTTAAATTCATATTTAGCAATATACAGGAAATAAAGACATCAGGTAGATGTCGATATGCGACATCGAGAATAAAAACGTCCGATGTAACAGGGTTCATAGACACATTTTAGTCAAAAAAATAAGTACCTATAAGCACTTTTCAAGCACATTTTAAGAAAAAAAATAAGCACCTGTCTAATTACATCATACACAACTGCATAATCTTAAAAATTAGACTTGTAATTTAAAATATGAGAAATGCAGTACTTATTAAGAGAGAATAAGCATCCATGGAAAATAATTACTTTTTTTTTTTTTTAATTTTAAATAATAGTTCAATTTACAGAACTAGTTTACAATGAGAGAGAAAAAAAAAAAAACTATGAAGAACTAAACTATATTACAAGATTTAATGAAGAAATTCAGTTCAAAACAGAGAAAATAAATAATAATAAGGCATATTTATTGTATTCGCTTCGAACCTAATAATAAATACAATTTATTTTTCCACTCATACTGATATTTAAATAATTTAAATCTAAATTCTGAACATTTTCTAAATTTTCATTGTATATCAGTTTTCCCTTAACAGATATTGCAAGCAAAGTAATTTAAGTAAAAAAGGAGGAACATTTCTGAAATCAGAAGACAGAAATTTACTTCATGCAGTCATCCTTTAACAGTAAAAGCTTAACTAACCTGCATACTTGGAAATTGGCGAATATTCGGACAGTCGAGCGTAACTTGAAGGAGCGGAGGGGGGGTAGACTGTACCCGCTCTTTAGATTTTTTCGCTAAATAAATGCTTTTGACATTTTGATATGTGCATCATATAAAAATAAACCAACGGAACTAAAAAAATTCTGCTTAGCAAGCACAGTAAAACTCTTTAAGTGCTCATAAAAAAATCTCGGGACTGAAACATCAAAATTAATTATCTCTGCAAAATATCGCAAACATTATTGCGCAATACGTGCGTCGTAGTTCTTCCCTACGTGATATTACGCAATCGGAATCAACAACTGCCGGTATTGGGAGAATAAAGAATTAAATCACTGGGGTGTTTTTCATTCTAATTTTCAACAGATGGCGTTAAATTTTCGGAATAGAATCATTCTTCGTTTGGGTTGGTAGACCGCAGAACTTTTAGTCCTATTCAATCCAGATTGGAAAGTGACAAAAAAAAAATTGGTCTGTTGCTTGCTTTGCAGCGAACTGTAACAGTTTCAATATTCAAGATTTTGCGGAGAAAGGGGAGACCTCTCAACCTTCGTACTGTATAATGTATTGGCCAAAAAAATGAAATTATTTTGACTATTCGATTACTTTCCCTTTATTTAAGCCATTCCGAATATTATTCCTTAGAAAGATAATATGTGTTAAAAGAAAACCATTTTTGGAAGTTTACTATCTTCAGCAGTTATTGCAACTATGTTATTATAAACATTCATACATATGCTCATAATATAAGCATAACGATCATAATAAACACGAATATGAACTGACCAAGCAGAAGGCGAATGCAAATTTTTAAGATCTTGATAGAAATTCAAGAAACAACAAGAAAATTTTTGTTGAATGTTAATTAGCTCTAAACCGTACAAAACTTAATAGTCTCCATTGGCTAAACGATAACCAACTCTGTAAGCAAACACAGTAAACAAAACAGCAACAATCCTAGGATAAAGCTAGGAATGTATTATGCATATGCATACTCGGCATCTGTAATCCACACTACTCCGCATAGGAAAAGCAAAATAATGAACAAACCATTTCCATTAACTTTCAAAGAACCAAATGTGGAACCATAAAACAGTAACACGTGTATAAATACAAAGCACTAAAAATAAATGCACAAAAGAAATAAAAGCAGTGGTATTTAAAAGTTGCTCACAATTTTCGCCATATCCACTCTATTTCAAGCAAGTCCATTTCATAACCAACACACCTCAGATAAAAAAAGATCGAATGCGAGAGTAGCCCAAGGCACAATTCTTGAGCCTATACTCTATCTCTATTATGTTGCTGATTTTCCGATGCCTTTGGCAGGTATTAATATGCATATTCGTTGTTACGCCGACGATACCGCTATTGCTGTGAAGTCACTGAGCCCAATCATGGCTGTCAACAAATTGCAGAAAATGATACCGCACATAGAGCACTGGTGTACGCAATGGAAGATCGCTTTGTTATGCTTCAAAGTCGCATCTTCTTATTATCAGTAAAAGAACTGATCCAGAACACCAATCGATGTCAAACTCACGTTATTTAACAAGGAAATTCATATTGTGAAGAAAGCAAATTATCTTGGAGTTATCTTGCATCACAAATTTACCTGGACAGAGTACATTAAAAATGTCAGGAAAAAATCTATTGCAGTAATGAAAAATCTCATGCCTCTACTAGGTAAATTCTCCAAACTTGATTTACTGCGTAAAAAAACATCTTTATACGACTATAGTCCATCCAATTTTTACGTTTGCCTCCCCTGCTTGGGCGGCAGTTCCAATAAAGATTTGAATAAGTTTCAAACAATATAAAATTAAGTTCCTCAGACTTATTACGACTGCTCACTTCTATATTTCAAATGACACGCTTCACCGTGACCTTAAAATTGAAAGAGTCGAGACTTTTCTCCACAAAGTTAATGAAATTTTCTTTAACAAGGCTTTAAGCTGCCCGCACATAATTTCAAAGTTTTCGATTGCATCGTACTCACAGAAGATCGGAATATCAGGCTATTTGCGATTCCAACTTCCCTATGTAGTTGATGCAGCTTGTATATAGTGTACACATGCTTTTTATCCTATTTTCTCCGTACAGTCAAAAGTCGTTAATTCGGACACCCATAATAACCGAAATAATGTCCGGAATAATCTATAATCCAGACCTCAAAGCTACAAACTTTCTGCACATGCGGCGCGTTGACGCATGCGCGCACATAGACTCCAACCTTCAGCAAACCTTGTCAGTAGTCAACGCACGAACGACATTTTTACAACTTTGAAAATGTGCGCGTAGCGTATGTTGTAATTAACCATTCATTAATTTTAAATTAATAATTAATTGTAATCGATTTTATTACATTTAAAATCCATATACATATAAAACTGAATAATTAAAAATATACCTTGTAAATTATATGCACATTTAATTAGAAATTTTCTTTTAACTCCTCAAGCATTCACTAATAAAAAGTACTTCAAATCACTACTAATCATAGAAAAAATCAGAAGCTATAAATCATATCTTTATTCTGGATATAATTTCTACAGGGAAATAAAATTTAAATAACCAAGAATGATACATATAAGTATTAAACAAAATACGCATAATTTATGAATGCAGATTTATATGTAGCATGCTTAGCAAGCTTAAGTTCTGATTTTGAGAATGTTTTTTTATAACACAGTTCTTCATTTGCCTGCATATTTATTTTTTCAATCAAAAACTGCTTTTCAAGAGTTTTAAGACCTAAATTTGGTCGAAATTCCGTCGATTTTTTTAAACAATAGAAAAAATTCTTTCGCAAGCTGCATTTGAATGAGGGTATTATTAAGACAGCAAGCATTACAGAAGGCAATACTTTGTATTTACATACACCCATTCATATTTTTAATTTGGCAATTTTTCTCCCCATGCTATATCAATACGCAAATCTACAATTTCTTTCAAATCATCTACTTGATACATGGAAAATTCAATTTCTACTTGATTAAGACATTTTTCATCAATAATGGATGGAAAAGTATTCATCAAGTAAAAGAACAGATGAAATGAGACTTCAGTTCTCAAGTTGATGTCAGCAACTTCAGCATGTTTTAGAAATGGATCACTCAGTGGAAATTTATCAATTATATATGAACATGCAGTTACAAAAAAAGCTCGCACAGAATTGAAAAATGATTTCACTTCACTTTCATTCAACTTGGCACTTTTTAAATATAGTCTTGTTTCCGCACCAATCACTAAATTTTCATTTTCTTTTTGTTTACTATACTTCTGAAATGGAATAGACGTTAGAGTAACATCTCATTTTCTTTAGAAATTACTGATGGTTTTACGAATCTAACAAATAAATTCATTAAAAGTTCAAAAGTTCTCTTTCTCAATTTATGTATATAAGGAGCTTGTTGTTGCAAATTAATATTTACTGTTATAAACAAAGGCAAAGTATTTTTCAAAAATAACAAGTACAATTTGGTGGTCGGTGACTGTAAAATTTTTTTAATGTTTTGCAATCTCTTTCCTTCATTCTCACTGTCTCACTGTTATCTGGTTTATCTCCAAAAAAATTTATCACAGCATCCCACTGTTCCAAAATCCTTGTTATAGATTCTAAAAGAGACAACCATCTCGTACTGCAATATTTCAAAATTTTATGAGATTTTGCATTCTGTCCCAAAATTTGTTGAGCAACTTTGAAGCTATGCTTCCGTTTCGAACTTTTCTCCAAGTAAAAATATATATCTATTATCAACATTTCAATTTCTGAGCCAATTAATTTTTCAGTAGCTTTTTTTGCAGCTATATGCAAGAGGTGGCACGGACAACCTCGGGTGATTATACTATGGTTGATGCATTTGATAAATGATGCTACACCTTTAAACTTTCCAATCATATTACTAGCATTATCTGAAGAAAATGATAAGCAATTTTTCCATTCTAAACCTTTGTTTTTAAAGTTTTCATTTATACAATTAAAAATACCTTCTGTATTATTCGTGCATTCTAAAATAGAAATCAATGAAGTAATTATCACTCCCTTTTCTTTACTGTAGTATGTTATAACCAATGGGTAGAGTTTGTTATCATTGTTATCATTACTTCCATCAGTACTTAGAGAAAATGATGTACTGCACACTGATTTTATAATATCAGCAACAGTATTTTCTGCAAGCGTTTCACAACAATAGCAGTTTTGGTATGACCGCAGTAAAATTTTTGCTATGGCAGATCCGGAAACATTGCTTTGAAAAGCTCTTTGGAATGATCCGAACAGAAAGCGGTAGATTATGTTCAATTAAAAACGAACAAATAGCATTCGGCTTTTATAGGATCTGTTTCATCATCCTTTATTAAGATTTGTTATTTCTTTAGATTTACGGTGCCAAGTTCTATATGCTTTTGAGAAAACACATGCCGTTTACAGTCATCTTTTCCGCCATGAGCAACTGAGAAGTCTTTGTTGCATACATGCAGTGTGCGTGATTCACAGAAATTTCGGACGCTTTAATGCATCGAAATTCTGAAGAATATGAATCTTTAAACTTCTGCTTGATAATTTTGGCTTCTTCGTTCGAGGCAGCATTATGATTAAAAATCTTTCACCTGATTCACAGTTCACAAGACACACGCTAAGCTCTCGCCGTAAACTACACAATGCAGCCGAATGCAGCCTAAACACGCATCAGCGAGGAACCTGGGAGACAGACAATGGGTGGAACTATTGATAGTCGTTAACGGTTGGAGTTACTGATCTACGATTGGCTAATTCTTCAAAACTAGGAACGCACTCAACACGTGATATATGATAACACGAGTATTCAGCCAACCATCGGATGAATTAGTTGGTTCCGTTTTGCGTACTGGTTCTCCTGCTCTTGTTTCTGTAAAATCCGTAGTTTTTTCCATACTTTTCGTAGCTCGTAGTTTTTCATGAATTTCCGTATAAACTACGGAGAATCCGTAGTAGTTGGAGTCTATGCGCGCAATACCTTTACGGCTGCTAATATGTGTGTGCACAAAATACGTTTACGAATGCATGTTTAATGTATAACGGACGGTATAAGATAAGCTAAAATTATCTAATTCAGTTAATGTTGCAGATTGCGTTGTTCCTTAATCTTCGAATTCGAATCGCTTATTTTTTTGACGTTAGAGCAATTTTATAAAAATAGCTTGAACTTTGATTATGTCAAATAGAATTTTCTAATATAAACTTACTAAATGTAAAGGATCTACAAAGCGAAAGTATGTTTCGAAATCCATTAAACAAAAAGTGAAATTGCTGTACAAACTGGATAAAGGCATATCCTTTGTTTATCTAAACTACAGTCAAAAGTCGTTAATCCGGACTCGTCGGGACTTCGGCGATTCTGGATTATCGATTTTTCCGGATTATAGATCCTCAGTTTAAATCGCGTAAGATAGCATGCGAAATTCTAAAATTAAAATATGAAACCGTAATTTATGAAATAAAGAACATTATGATCTAAAGGGTATCAAAATTTACAAAAAAAAAAAGCTTAATATTTATTTGTTTACTTTATTAAACATTCTTTCAATGTAAGTTGTTTAAGTTGCTTCGTTTTATGTGATAATACTTTCTCTTTAATTCTATAACAGACATAATTTTTTGTTCACTTTCAAAGTTCCGCTGTTCAAGTCCTGTTAATTGCTGTGCCGAGAATACTGACTAACTTGTCAATCGAAATTTTTTCGTTTTCACTAACCTCTCTGTCACATTCTTCATGTCTTTATCCATTTTTGCAGCAATTCCACTTTTTTGTTTGATGGACATCGAAACATACTTTCGTTTTGTACGATCCTTTGGGAGCTCCAGAATCAAAAATTCTATTTGACATAATCGAAAGTTCAAGTTTACTTTTAGTATTGCTCTTACAGTCTGCAAAAAATAATAAGCCGGATCCAATTCGAAAGATTAGGAACAACGCAATCATCAACATTAACTGAAATAGATAATTAGATAATTTTAGCTTACACCGTCCGTTATACATAAAACGCGCACACGAAAACATATTCTGCGCTTGCGCACACGCAAATGTGCAGTAGTAAGAGGTCTTACGCGCACGCGTAAACGCCTATGCGCATGTGTCAACGCGGCGCATGCGCAGAAAGTTTTTAGCTTTGAGGTCCGGATTATAGATCATTCCCAATTATGGGTGTCCGAATTAAGGACTTTTGACTGTATAACGTTTGTTTATCTAAACTTTGTTTATCTTTAACGCCACGGCGCGCAATGAATTGGAAGTTGATCTGTCAGCACTATCCTTATCTTCAAGGCAGATGTTTTTATTTATTTGGCTTATAATTTCTTACTAATGTAGCATTTATCTCGATGTACTCCGTCTTGATATGATTTAAATCTAGTTCCTCGAATTAATTCGCTTCGTAGCGAAGAAAGTGACAGAGGTTATAAAAAAAAAAATTTCGATTGACAATTAGTGGGTATTCTCGACACGAATTATAGGACTTGAACAGTGAACTTTGTAACTGAACAAGAAATTATTCTGTTTATAGAATTAAAAGAAGTATTATCACATAAAAAACGAAGCACTTAAACAACTTACAATGAAAGAAATGTTTAATAAAGTAACAAATAAATATTAAGCTTTTTTTTTTGTAAATTTTGAACCCTTTATAGATCATAATTGTTCTTTATTTCATAAATTACAATTTCATATTTTTAATTTTATAATTTCTGCATGCCATCTTACCAGATTTAAACTGATGATCTATAATCAGGAAAAATCGATAATCCGGAATCGCCGAAGTCCCGACGAGTCCGGATTAACGACTTTTGACTGTATTATATAATTAATTGTACTATGTATTCATATCTTAATTATGTTCTATCTACTTACCTTACAAGCAGTCATGGCATGCTTCAAAGGAACACTTGCCTCTCCTGGTCTGCAGCTTCGATTTGGTTTTTCAGCCTTGTGACAAGTGGTCACCCCTTCTCTTACCATCTTAGACCTCTCCTTCATCGGTTTGGACTTCTCCATGTCAGGCGCCCTTCGGGCATATGTGACAAGAGCCGCACACATCGCAAGTCCTCAGCGATAGTCCAGCAATATCGGTATGGACTGGACTGGACCCGAACCACGTGGTGGAGAGCTAACGTTTAGTTCTTAACCAGTAACGAAGGAAAATCGTTTCCTTCCATGACCACAATAGCACAACAGAAACAATACCCAGTCTCAAGAGAGCACAATCAAAAGATAACACTGAAGAAACCTCGCTATCGCAGAAGGTAAACAGCATGAGGTCACAATAAGGCCTCTAAAACCTACAACCTGCACGTTCGGCTTCCAAAATTGGAATCCTTATCTTCTTGGCTTGAAAACAAAAGTGTCTGACACTGCTGGTCGGTTGTCCAAGATGTCTAGCTGCGGCGGGAAAGAATAACTGGTTCATCTTTAAAACATTAGGTTTCAGTCCCAAAACATGTCTGATAAAGACAAAAAAAAACTTTTTACCTTTTCCGAACTTCTTTTAAAAGGAGAAAAGGCATCTCACATTGGAAAAAGTTTTAAGGGGGCACAGTACCTTTGCATACCGAAATAATGTTAAACACGACTAAACGCTACCTTCTGATACACAAATAATATCACAATAATTTCTATTTTTTGCTATAGATGTGAAACACACCTTTTCAACATTGTGTTCAAAAATAAAAACTTCACTTCAATAATAATATTCAAATTGTTGATTTAAAATACCCATGATTAAAGATAAATAAAAAATCAATAAGTACGAGCGCATAAAATTTAAAAAAAGGTATGCAGAAAACAATTTTTGGTCAGTGCTACTTTGGTAGACGTTGCACGGATTTTAGTGATTTTGGCGATTTCCTTTGGCGAGTAATATAACTTATGGTACACCATTGCTGGATAAGTTATTATGGTAACCAAACTTTGTTGTCATTATTTAAAAAATAATGTGTTTTATGTGCATAAATTCCGTGTTTAAAATATATTTATGGCTTTTAAATATTAAAAATCAATTTAATTTGCATTTTATTGAAATAAAATTTATTGTTTATCATATTTAGTTGTGGATGATGTAATCAATGACGTCACCTTATTTAAAAGTAATTTGTTTTAATATGTATAAATTTAATCTAATGTTTTAAACATTATTTGGCTCTTAAATATTAAAATAAATTTAATTGCATTTTTTTAAAAATGATTTATTATGTATGAATTTTAAATAATTTTAATTCTAGCCGTGATGTAATAAACTCTGATGGTTATAGAATATTTGTGCATTAACGAGCTGTAATCAGTCCCTGATGGTACTGACGTTTGTGCATTTCCGGGCCGTTTTAAAATTAATTATATCTTCGAATTCCTTCAAAGATGTTATCTAAATATGATTCTGATTTTTATTGTGTACTTATCAGTAAAGAACAGGTTAAACACTCAAAAAAAATAAGTACATATTTTTATTTTATTTATAATTGTATACTTCAATTTTTGTTAAAAAATTAATACACTATTCAGAAATTGCTGAGATATTATTGTCATATGTTTATGTTAATTATATTCTATATAACGTATTTTAAAGTATTTGAATTAATATATTCTAATTCTTTTAAATGTGGTATGATGGTTTTTAATTCGATATTCAATTCAGAAATTTTATCTATTAAACTGGCCCATGTTTTTTAGCGTTGTTTTTATTCTTTCTTGCTATATGAAGTAATAATAACCTTACTTTAGTATTTTATCTCATAGTAAATGTATTTATTTACCTCGCTATCCAGAAAGAACCTCGAGCCTGCATCTTAAAAACGACATTTTCACAAAAATCCATTACTTTAACGATATTATTTATTTATTTTCAAGTTTCGAATACTTTACTATGCGTAAAAAGCGTTTTCAGATGCTGCGTTGTAAAAATTCGCCAACTTAGCCACGTAATCGCCAAAAATCTGCAACTGTTACAAGAGCATCTTTATAAAAGCTTAGAAACGACTTTAGAATACTTTTGCTTTTAGAACCAATGACATTGGTCACTCATCAAGATAAAATTGCACATTTTCCATCATTGAAGCTTGCTACAGCTAAATTTACTGCAATTTCCACAATGTTTTTTGCAGAATTGTTTGTTTTGGGCAAAATGTCCAAATCAATGAATTTAACGATTCATTCGCATTTTGCGTTCGCCCGCCAATACACCTTTTTAACAAGTCTGGTGAGACAAATCTTTAAAATAGGCTTTGCGGCATCCATAACAGCCACAGGTACAGATTTTTATGTTTAAAATTTTTCAGTGCACCAGTAAAAAAAGCTGCTTTTTTGTATTGACACCAAGAATCTGCTCCATCTGGACAAAAGTCGTGAATTGCTTCGTCATCATTCTAGCGTTTATGATACCATATAGCCCATATTGCTTTCTGCATATCACGATAGTTGTTACAGTGTTTTTGAATGGCATTACCATAATACGTAGTAAGTTGGTCGATCAAGACATCGGTAATACGACCTTTACCACAAAGAGGTTTTCCGTCACTTAGCTTCTTTCCACGAAATTCACTTTTTAATTTTCTTAAACGTGTACCCATTCTTTTTTGAACATGACCAACACATTCTATTTTAGAAATGGGATCACTATATGTGTTATTATTCGAAAGTGCTAAATAAGTTTTACAGTCACCATCACCAATATAGTTCACATAACGAACACCATATTTTTCTTCTGATCGAGAAAACATTTCAACCATCCCGTTCACTTCCATCTTGGCAGAGATGATCCCGAATGATTTTTTTGCACACACTTTCGCGTGAAGACGTTTCCATTCTAAATAGTTTTCTGTTGAACGAAAATCTTTCGCAGTTTTACAACCTTTACAGTGCGCACTAGAAGTATATCTGTCTATAACTTTGCCTGTCTCACTGCCAATTATAGACGTCACACCGAAACGTGACGAATGGCCCCTAGTTTTCCAGGTGCCATCGCCACTAACTGTCAAATCCATGGAACCAGTCAACTGGACCTCTTCATCAGCTGCATTTTTCATACTTTTTTCTGCAACAGTATATGTAGCTGCATGTATATATGACTTACAATCTTGTCATAAGATTTTTGTGCGACAGGCGATGGTAAGTCCATAAGTCCACAAAAGGTTTTACACTCTGCTAGTCCTTTGCCAATGCACCTCATGGCCAGAATAAATCGTCTATTTAAGTCAGAAGCATTCTGTTTTTTTTTCCAACCATCTTAGAGTTTTTGAAAGAGGAAATTATTCCACAAGAACTGCATGTAACATTGATTTTTATCGTCAGCCCATAATTTATTTCTGAATTTATATGTATTTTATTATGGCATATCGAACAACATAAACATTGTTCTAATGCTGAAAAATAACAGTTTTTTTTATCGATAATAGCATAACCATCAAAATTATCATTCATGTTATCCACAAGTTCAGCTGATGCAGATGAATCGTTACCGATCTTTCTTGCTGATGCAGAAATGTTTAGGTCTATGTCAACACACTCACGCTTTATATGTTGATTTCAATAATACTTGTGCCTCCTCCGTCTTTTTGGTCTTTGACCAGATGCCCTTTTAGCATTAACAGCATTCATTTTGCTTTTAAAAAAGCAGTTTTGTTTTGTGAAAACGGCAATTCAAACTTTCAAAATTGAAAAAAAACGATAACGGAAACGAAGATATGAAGATGAGTAGTTACCTTCCTGCTTCTCAAAAGAGGAGGGAAAATAAAAAATTGTGAGGCAGCAATCATAAAGAGAACATTCGAAAGGAAAGAAATATCGCAGCTGCAGAAATGGAACGTAAACAGTCACGTGAGCAGACAGCTCCTTTAAATGGCAATGGCTGCCCTTTTATCAGATTGTCTCTTGCGTAAGGGTTTACGTAAATGGTCATAACTAGAGAAATAATAGGAATTTTTCAATGCGGTTTTTTGCATTGTGCTCAGAAATGTTCATAGAATCAGAAAAATTAATTTTTTGAATGCTTAAAGGTGCTGTGCCCTCTTAATTTCACACAACACGGCATTTTCTACGAACCTATCTGCGGTGTTATTATCCTATCTACTTGTACCACAAAAGAAAATGGCCATCTAAAGATATGCTCCTTTTAAATTATTTTGTGATATTGCTGTTGAATTGAATTTTATGGTTTAACTGCCTAGAATATAATATTTAACACATAAAGCTACACACAAAACACGTTAAAAAAAGGCTCCCTTTGGGCATAATATAAATGTGAAAAGTTTCAGATTTTTTATTACTGTTTTATGAATATTTATCTCACTACCAGAGTTTTCATTGCTTTTTAACTCATTCCTGATAATAAAAAAAAAAAAAAAAAAAAAACTTGAGCTGAAATTTTGCGCACATGCTGTTTATGAATGATAATGCAATGTGTGGAAGCGATATTTTTTATTTGATTTCAGAAACTGAACATTAACAAGAATATTACAGCACTACATCTTTTACGAGTTGACAATAGAAGCATTTCTAAACCTTCTGAAACTATATTTGTTGATATTATTGTTTTAAATATCAAACTTTTTTATAAATATTATTTAGAACATGTGTCAAAATTGAGAAATGTCTTCTGCTTTGAAATATATGCTTGTAACAATAATTAACTTTTACCCACTTGTAATTAGCTAATATATTTCAGATCAACGAAAATCCATCGTGTATTTCTAGCTGAAATTAAGTTTTCTCTTAGCTCAATTTAGATATCTGGAAGATGTAATTATTACTGCTAGCAAGGAAAGTTTCATATTTTGGCAGAATACAAATAATTGCTACATATTGGAGAAGCATGTTGAAAGCGATTTATTAAAATATATACAGAATTCTATCATGCATGCTTACTCTTTTTCTTTATCAAATAACGGTACATATTTGAACGTGGTGATAAATAATATGTTTATATTTACCTCAGGCATTATTGCTTTTTAAAATTTATGTGTATTATTAGCCCGTACATATAATGAATGCATTCCACAAAATTTTGCACTTATTGACAAACGAATGGAACAGAAAATGTGCAAATACATTTCTAATTAAGAAGTTAATTACAATTCCAGAGAAAAATAGTTGACGAAAATTTTTCTACTAAAAATTCCTTTTTATATTTTTTATCCTCGATCTGAATTTAATCAAGATAGATGGCCATTTCTATTTGCTCAAGATGCTGAATATTACAAGGAGGTTAGAATAGACCTAACCTAATATTCTAACCTCCTTGGAATATTAACGAGAATAGTACAGTAAAACAAAAGAAGATTGCCATATTTCTCAATAAATATTTCTTGTATATTAGCCTGTATTTCAATAATTGATAAATGAAGCATTCTTAAACTTTAAGCGAAACTACATTTGCAGATCTTAATTTCATGAACATTTAATATATAGCTATTATTTCGTAAGAGCATAAAAGAGAAATACGCTATCCATTGAAACCTAACACTGGCCAGAGTAACTAACTTCAACCCATGTGGGGTTTTCGTGCATATAATTCTTTTTTACGCAGGTTTTTAGCAAGCTGGTATGGCTCGCAGAATGAAAAGAATAAATTAATGAAAAAATTTGTTGCAAGTCTTGTGCAAGCGATCCATTGAAAAATATA